CCTTATTAGCAGTGACAGAAACTTGATCATTTTTAACATCCATGAATAAAATGGAACTTGCATTAGTTACAAATTTCTGATTGCCAGTGCATTAAAAGAGGAAATATTCTGCCCARTGAAACTCCTCACTCAGTTTTGTCRTTTCCTTTTATTTACACTCATGCATGATGTCTTTGCTTTAAGTTGTATCCAGGATTCCAGCCGTGGAATCCTGGATATCAACCCACCACCAGTAAAAGGAACATAATGCCTTCTCCTAGTTATTCCTGCTTTTTATTTCATTCCAGTTATTCCTGCTTTTTACTTCATTCCAGTCACAATATGCACACCAGACACAATATACACTGATTTAACTATGGAGTATTCTGCTAGGCTAAAGAGTTACATCATCTCAGGGAAGAACCTGGCACATGTTACAGCCTGCACAATGAAAGATGTTCTATCTATTGATTACAGATAGAGTCTAGGGAGATTAACTGACTAACTGAGCCAGTTAAGTCAGATGCATGAAGTTGGATCATGTGAACACCTCTCAATTGATCTCTATAGCTATTTCTGGCAAGCCAACAGTTCTTGTTAGCTGTAACTCATAGCTGGAATTGTGCAGCATGCCTCTGTTAGCAGACCAGACTTCCACAAGGGCTGATGGATGAGCTAATAAAGTTGCACTGAGAGCACTGAAGACTTGCTCTACYATTTGCATGGGGAAAAAGAAAATGCAACGTGCACTTTGTTTCTGTTTTAACTAAAAATGCCACKGGGGGTGGTGATAGTAGCAAATACACCACTGAAATACATGCTTTCCCCCATATGTGCACAATCCTCAAAAGAATATATCTCTGTTTTAAATAATTCCTTAAATGTAGCCAAATCCCCCAAGAGTTGTTATTTGTTAACACTTACTCCTTTGCTTCAGTGTTAAATCCTGAAAAGTGATGCCCAGGAGGGGCAAAAGTGTTGGACAGGAGGCAACAYCCCTCCTGATGCAGCCAGGATCCCATTGGCCTTCTTGGCCACAAGGGCACTGCTAACTTGGTGTCGACCAGGACTCCCAGGTCCCTCTTCGTGGAGCTGCTCTCCAGCAGGTCAACCCTTAATCTGTCCTGGTGCCTGGGGTTATTCCTCCCCAGGTGCAGGACCCTGCACTTGTCCTGGTTGAACCTCATGAGGTTCCTCTCTGCTCAACTCTCCAGCCTGTCCAGGTCCCTCTGGATGGCAGCACAGCCCTCTGGAGCGTCAGCCACTCCACCCAGCTTGGTATCATCCACAAACTTGCTCAGGGTGCCCTCTGTGCCCTCATCCAAGTCATTGATGAACAGATTGAACAGCACTGGGGGACCCCACTAGCCACAACTAGATTTGGCCCCATTTATCATCACCCTCTGAGCTCTGCCATCCAGACAGTTCTCCATCCACCTCACTGTGCACCTGTCCAACCCACACTTCCAGAGCTTTCCTATGAAGATATTATGGGAGATGGTGACAAAAGCATTGCCGAAGTCAAGACAGACAACATCCATGGCTCTCCCATCCCATCATAGAAGGCTATCAGGTTCATGAAACACAACTTCCCCTTGGTGAGCCCATGGTGACTACTCCTGATCACCTCCATCTTCACATGCTGTCTAGGATGAGTTGCTCCATCACCTTACCAGGGACGGAGGTGAGGCTGACCGGCCTGTAGTTGCCTAGCTCCTCCCTCTTGCCATTTTTGAAGACTRGAGTGATGCTGGCTCTCTCCCAGTACTCCAGCACCTCCCCTACTCTCCAGAACCTCTCGAAGATGATGGAGAGCAGCTGAGCAACAACTCCCACCAGCTCCCTCAGCACTCTTGGGTGCCTCCCATCCAGGCCAATATATTTATGCGTGTCCAGTTTGCCCAAATAATCCCTAACCCAATCCTCCTCGAGCAGCAGAAAGGCTTCTTATTTATCTCTTATATCCAGGCTCTGTAGTTCATGGGGACCAGCTTTAGCARTAAAGACAGAGGCAAGGAAGGCATTTAGTAACTCTGCCTTCTCTGCATCCTCGGTCACCAAGGCCCCCTCCTCATTCAGCAGTGGTCTAACATTTGCCCTAGTCTTCCTCTTGCTGCTGAAGTATTTGTAGAAGCCCTTCCTGATGTCCCTGACATCTCTCACTAACTCTAATTCGAGACAGGCGTTGGCCTTCCTCGTTGCATCCCTGCATTCTCTTACAATGTTCCTATATTCTTCCCATGTGGCCTGGCCCTTCTTCCACATGTTGTATGCTCTCTCTTTTCCTCATTAAGTTTACCCAAGTTTACCCAAGAGCTCCTTGCCCATCCATACAGATGCCTTGCCTGACTCCCTTCTTGTGGGAATGCACCGATCCTGAGCTTGGAGGAAGTGCTGCTTGACTACTAGCCATCTCCCCTGGCCACATTTCCTTCTAGGCCCCGGCCCGGGGGATTCTTCCAAGGGACCCCCTGAAGCAGCCAGAATTCTCTCTCTTGAAACACAGGGTTGCGATCCTACTTCTTGCCCAGAAGTGCTTTCTTCTTGGCATTATTTATAAAGTACATTCATGCTTCTACTTCTTCTGTTTACCTTAGAAATGAGTGCAGATATGAAATATTGACTCAAACATGTATATATGCCCAAGCCTAAAACTTTTTATCTTTTTCCTCTGTGAAACTGGTTCAGCTACTGAGCCGCATAGCTGGAATTCACCATTGTATAGAAGAGTCCCATGGATGTCTTTAAAAGCCACAAAACATTGGCTTATTAAGTTTCATATCTCTCTTACCAGAGCAATGAAACCAACTGAATTTGGACTCCACAAAATTTAATCGAAAATATCTGTTGGTTTAGCAAAGTCAATAATAGAATTGGTGGACATCCATGCTACTTTTTCAGCTGCCAAAGTTCAAAAATTTTGCAATGGAGCGTTATGGTTTCTTGTTGCCAGAAAAAAAAAAAAAGATTAAAATTAAAATGTCATAAAATTTGTTAACGCAAGAATTCTCAAAGTTGGCAATCTGTTTATCCTGTGAATCTTTAACTCATATTCACACACACAGAGGAATATAACTCACTCTAGGAATCACGAAGAGTAATTAGGAAAATCAATCCTGAATTGTGTGCAGATGACTTTTAGGAAAACAAACGTTCTCCATTTACATTTTCAAATGGCCAAATTATACTTTAGACTTGAACACTAGAAAATATTTTCAAATAGGTGAGACTGGTCTTTGTAAAATAATMTTCCAAGTTTACACTGGTCTTCATAAAACACCTGACAGGCCAGCTTTTACTTATCATCCTGAACATGCCCTCTCTTATCATTAATTTTCCAAAACCACTCTCATAGGCTTTGGGGGAAAGTAAATTTCTGTCATATTTCTCTAATAGTATTTCATCAGTGGAGCAGCAATCTCTGAAATAAACCCACTGAAACTGCAAATCATACAGAAAATCTTTGTGGATTATTTTTAAATAGCTTTTTAAATAATTATCCTTGCACTAAACTCTGGAGTTCATTAAGAAAGAAACAAAGATAGCAATTACTTACTGTTATGCAGAGGCTCTTTTCAAATTCTATATACTTCGATTACCAGTATAGGATACAATATTGAGTTTTGAGGCTGAAAAGCTAACTAGCCCATGATGAGCTTATTTTTCCAAAATAAAAACACAGCTATGGACAAGCAGACTAACTTCAATCCTTTGTATTAAATACACTGGACTTCTCTCATTTTTGATACTGAACATGTCAGAGCGATAGCTTTCAAACGCATTCCTCTGTTCATACAGAGTTCATTGAATCATTGCCTGCCAGGCATTTTTATCTTCTTCTGAATGTTTGAAGAACATTTTGAATGCTCAACGTAGCACAAAAGGGGTGACCGGCCCACGAAAGCTAGGGCAGACCTTTACAGGAAAGCAAGGGGAAACAGCTTATTAACCTACACAGGGCAGTGTATTGTGTTGGATCACTTGTTAACTTTCACCACTTGGGAAGGCAACCGCAATACACTTCAGAATTTGCGTATACTGTCCATTTGACAAAGCAATATCCCCGAAAATACATATTTTAAAAAGCGGGGCCCCAACGGCAGAGCGCAGGTCTCCTCGGACCCCGCAGCCCGGCGGGTAACRGCCCTTCCCGCGCGCCAACGCCCGCCGCGACGACAGGGGGCGCCGCACGGCTGCGCGGACTACAACTCCCGGGAGGCTTCGYGGTCTGTCGGACTACAGCACCCAGCGTGCCCCGCGACACGCCAATCACGCGGCGACGGCCAATCGCGGCGCGCCGCCGGCTCGCGTCCCACCCTCCTATCTTAAAAGGGGCCGCAGCGGAGGCTCCTGAGCGGCAGGCGCCGCTTCTCTGTTGTGCCGCTAGTGCGGCGCTTTGCTCGGTGCCCTTCCCCTCCTGACCCTCGCGCCCTCCTCCCCAGCTCCTGTATCTGGGGCTGGGGCGGCCGCCCTGGCCGGAAGAGGTTGTCACCGTAACGACCGTCTCCAGGGTAAATATTCCGGGTGCCCCCGGAAGCGCTTGGGGAGTCCTTCTGCCCATGTGGAGGTTGTTCTTATCGCTTTTCGGGGCGGCCGTGCTCGCTGCAAGCCACGAGGCCTCGGTGCTAAACATTTTAGGGCTTATTCATTAAAAATAAATAAATATTAAATAAAAAATAAAGTACTGGACGTGCAGGCGGCTTGGGCCCATCCGCGGGTGTGATTGGCCGAACGCACCTCTCCCCCATCCAATGGGCGGCGGCCACGCTCTGCCCGCAGGAAACCGCACATGGAAAGCGGCGATTGGCGGCGGCGGCCGCGGGCCCCGCCCATGTCGTCTCGCCAGTGGCTGCCTGTTTGGCGTGGTACGCCCTGAGTGGCCAGCCGCGGAGGGCGCCCCCCCGTGCCTGGGCGCCCCGCATTGATAAGGCGGAGGGGGGGGAGGGCCGCACCGGCGGTTGGCGGTGGTGGCGCTGGGGCTGCGAGGCGGCGGTTGGGAGCGCGGGACAGGGGCCGCCCGGGGCTTCTGCGGCAACGACCGACCAACCAACCAACCAACCAACCGGCGAACCACCCAGCAAACCACCCGCTCAGCCGGCGCCATGAAGCCGCAGTGGGCGCTGGCGCTCGCCTGCACGCTGCTGCTGGCCGGTGAGTCCCGGGCCGCGCGCTCGCCTTCTGGAAGCTTCTGGCGAGAGGCCGTTGGTGGCGGCGGGGCCCGCGCTCCGCTTATTTCCTTCTGGCTGGGCGCGGAGGGGGCAACGAGGCCCCTGGGTGGGGCCGTCGGAGCCCCAGGGGCCGGGGGAGAGGAGCCGCCTTCTCCTCGGCGCCCGCGGGCAGCTGCGCCCCAGCCCTTTCCCTGGCGGGGCGGGGGGAGGTGGGCGTCGTGCAGCGCCGCGTGCCCTGCCTGTGCTGGGCTCCTGCGAGGCGGGAGGGGCTGCACGGGAGCCCCCGTGACCCGGGGGAGGGGGGGAACCGCGGGCCGCCCCCTTCTCCCCTTCTCTTGTCCCCTGGGGGGCTAACTCTCCCWGGGGTGGGGTGCAAGGGCAGAGCCCTTAGGTAAATCTGGGAGCCACGGTAGCATTTTTGGTAGTCCCGATTGGCCTTCTGTTTCAGTCACACTTCTTGTGTGGGTTTTTTTTTTTTTTTCTCTCCCTCTCTCTGCAGTGTCCGTTAGAGCTGATGAAGTGGATGTGGATGGGACTGTGGAAGATGACCTGGGTAAAAGCAGAGAAGGGTCTCGAACGGATGACGAAGTTGTGCAGAGGTTGGTAGCAGGGGTGTGGGCTGGTTGCTTTGGAACCGTTAACTACTCTTGCTATTTTAGGGGTCATTTTTTAAATATGCACAAAAAATACAAGATGTTGGGGTGGAGTGGGGGGGGAGTAACCTTGTCAAAATGTGCTCTGAGAGACATAGTCACCTGGGAGAGGGCTAGTGTTTGTGAAACTGTATATAATACAGAGGAGAGCTGGAGGTAATGGGATTCTTAACGTCTTATTTTGTCTAACAGCAGTAGTTGCATAAAAGCTGTTAAGTAGGGATTTATTTCCACAGGTAACTGTTTGTGGTAAACAGTATGAGTTTCATGCCAGATGATGGAATACCTATAAAACACTTGATCTTCTGTGAAATGTGCCCAGTGATGAGGATTAGAGCACTTTTGAGATGTATTTGTTCTTCTCTCTCTTTCTTTATAAGAGAGAGGAGGAAAAAAAAAAGACTTGCAATCAGGATGTTCATCTGAGTCTTATTTGGGTGGAAGTTAAGCACTAAAAGGTAGTTACTGTTGTACATCTCTCATCTAGTCATGTAACTTAGGCTAGATGTGTCAGTAATTAAGACTTGTTCTGATACTGAGATTTGCTAAACTGTAAAAATAGTAGTACAGCATGTGAACAAGATTGCTTAACGCTTTTAATTCTATTCACAGAGAAGAAGAAGCTATTCAGCTAGATGGTCTAAATGCGTCCCAAATAAAAGAAATCAGAGAAAAATCTGAGAAATTTGCATTTCAAGCAGAAGTTAACAGAATGATGAAACTTATTATCAACTCCTTATATAAAAATAAAGAGGTTGGTGCCTTTTTCAGTAGAACGCAATAGAAATGTGTGTGTGTATATTTTTAAATTCCTGACTACTGATTTCTATTTCAGATTTTCCTGAGGGAACTAATTTCAAATGCTTCTGATGCTTTAGATAAGATACGGTTAATATCTCTAACTGATGAGAATGCTCTTTCTGGTAATGAGGAGCTTACTGTCAAAATCAAGGTAAGTATAAAGTGGTTATCAGACCTACTCCATTGAGGGGCAGGTGAAGGAATAAAAGGTGGTAGTGTCTCAATAACCTTGTAAGCTGATTGCTTAATGATGATTTGAACTCAAACCATGAGTACTAGATCAGGACCTTTGCAGTTCCCTTCAACTTTTTAAGTCTATTGAAAATATCTCTGGTTTAATAAATAAATGTACTTCAAAGTAGATTTTTTAATTAACTGCTGCTCTTGCTTTGAATTCACTTTATTACAGCCACCCAAGTTTAAAATGGGATGATAAGTTGCCAGGCTCCTTTCACTCCTTTACAGTAGTGTGTTTTGTCTGAAGGTTCAAAGTGAAATCAAATTTTATCTTTTTTTTTTTTCTCTCCTTTTCAGTGTGACAAAGAGAAGAACATGCTTCATGTTACAGATACGGGTATTGGCATGACAAAGGAGGAGTTGATTAAAAACTTGGGTACCATTGCAAAGTCTGGTACAAGTGAATTCTTAAACAAGATGACCGAAATGCAGGATGACAGTCAGTCAACATCTGAATTAATCGGCCAGTTTGGTGTTGGCTTTTATTCTGCTTTCTTAGTAGCAGACAGAGTTATTGTCACATCAAAACACAACAATGATACTCAGCATATTTGGGAGTCCGATTCCAATGAGTTTTCTGTGATTGATGACCCAAGAGGAAACACTTTAGGACGTGGTACAACCATAAGGTAATTAAGTCAGTTTCCTTTGATTTGAAGTTCTATGTGTAGACAGATACATAGTTCACAGTACTAAAATCACTCAGATRTTCCAGTGAATACATAAATCCTCTGGTTCCTGTAGAAACAACTTGTCAAACTCACATATGCATCCTAAGTAGTAATTATATGTAAAAATGATGYAGAATTCTAGTGCAGTTTGTTCATCTCATGACATAACAAGCTGAGAGTATTRCAAGTATCTTGACAGGTAACTGACAGCAAGTAATAGGAGGTATTTCCAGCAGCCTGCTAACTCTATACCTTCTGAAACCATTAGGGCTATATGAGACTGGTAAAAGGGATGTAGAGCTTCATCTTGGAAACAGATTGCTGCTTATTCCCTAGTGGGACTAGTCTGATACAAATACAAAACTAGAAGTACCTTGACAGCCCTTTTGCTTCATCACCTCAGGCATATGAATTTGTCATCTAGACCCTCCTTTTCAGAAGTATGAGGGGAAAGAAGTTCCTTACAGTGTTTTAGTTTCAAATGAAATCAGTAAGAGGACCTCAATAGCCTGATCACTGTAATGAATGTGATTTGAGGGTGGTTGGTTGGTTGTTTTAATCTTTGAACTGCACTGCCAATCTTCAATGTGATTATTTCAAAAAGAGTTGTATTATTGGGAAGCAAAGGGAGCTTTTTACTAGTTCTGTTGTGATTAGGTAAACTAGAATCACAGCAACAGTGAGAAGGTATTCCTGTTTCTGTAAGTCTTTCAAAGTACTGGTCTCAGATTTTGAATTAGTGGGGTTTCTGTTCTGTCTTTAGCCTTGTCTTAAAAGAGGAAGCATCTGACTACCTCGAACTGGATACTGTTAAAAATCTAGTCAAGAAATACTCGCAATTCATAAACTTCCCCATATATGTGTGGAGCAGCAAGGTCAGTATCTTTTTAACTGAGGGTTAAGTCAGTACAAGGTTTGTGGTGAGGTGTGTGGAGGGGGTTGGTTGTTTGTTTTCTTTATAGCGTTAGCGTGGGATTTCCTGACTGTCTAAAACTATTTTTTCAAGGGACTTGGCTTTGATTCTTTAGAAATAATGTTTTGCCAAAGGAGACAAGACCCGTGCTAAAAATGTTTTCTTGGCCATGCAATGGAGTCTTGTCTGGTAGAAGCTTTCCTTAGGTGTCAGACAGAACCACTGTATATGTCCTTACAATAACTGCTAAAATATTGGCTTTTTTAAACAGCTTAATCGTTCTTTCAGTGTGGCAGTAACTTTAAATCATCTCGGTCCATGGTGAGCCTGTATATTCAGTGCTGGTAAAGCTGAATTCTCCTAATTGACTGGAGTGGCCTCCCAGCGTGTTGCATGAACGCTATGTGTTTGTGAATAAGTGCAACTGAACATGGAGTGGCCTCTGCAGAAATGGCTTGCCATGGGCAAATCACACAAGTTAAACTGGTATTCTGACTGTTTCTCAGAGAATACTGGAAGTTACCTGGTAGGAAAGCAAACAGGCTGAGGCCCCTTTCCTGTTGTTTCCAGACAGAAACTGTTGAGGAGCCCGTTGAGGAGGAAGAAGCAAAGGAGAAAGAAGAAACAGATGATGATGAAGCTGCAGTTGAGGAGGAGGAGGAAGAAAAGAAACCAAAAACGAAAAAGGTGAGCTCTGTCAGCCTTCAGAGGTCTTGTAACTCAGGACAGTTATTTCAGCCGTTTGCATAGGTAACCTGTTAGAGAGGCACTTCAGTGTGTGCACTTTTCAAAAAAATCCTTATGTGTGTGATTAGATATGTCAGTAAAGAAAATGGAAAGTAGGTAAATTTTGTTGAAATGGAGCAAATGGCTGCCTCAGGAGGCTGTGTTCCTGGAACAGTTTGAGTTTATGCAGTGAAGTCTCTTTGAAGTGACAGTGAACTTCAGTTCAATAACATTAAATAGTTTGGGTTGAATATGCTCTGTTCGGAAGCTTTCTTCAGAATGGTGTTGGAATAAATATCCTCACTAGCAATGGATGCACTAAATGTATGTTGGCCATAGGGTAGTGTAGACTCCTTGCCATGTGCTTATACTTTTAAGTGCTGTGCACTATATAGCGCTTAAGCGCAGCACCATTCATATAGATGTTGTGTTTCTGTTTTTCCCTGCTATTTTATGATCTAGAGTTCTTTGGTGGAATTTCTTTAACTGATGAATTCCTAGTAAAGCATGTAATATGTTGTGTGTGTGTGTGTATATATATATAGGTTGAAAAGACTGTTTGGGATTGGGAGCTGATGAACGACATCAAACCAATCTGGCAGAGGCCGTCTAAGGAAGTCRAAGAAGATGAATACAAAGCTTTTTACAAAACCTTTTCCAAGGTAATTTCCAAGACTGAAGAATTGTTCCAGAACAGCAGATTAGCTAAAGTATCTTATGCTATGTACATGTTATGGTGACTGGATGTTCATAGAATGGATTTACCTTTGAATAATGAGTTAGTTGGTGTTGGTCTGTAGACTGAATGAATTCCAGACAGCAAGCCTAGATTTGCTTTTAGTTGTGGCTTTAAATAGGACTAGTAACTCTCTTGTATTACTTGTATTTTGGCCGAATAAGGCATTTTTCCCTTTAATACAGTCTAATGAAGCCTGAGGAGGTAGGGTTTTTTGTTTTATTTTTCCATAAACACCTAGATCTTGCAAAAACCTTTTTCAAAATGAATTTGTTTTGCTAATATCTTTCCACTGTCAATTAAAAGAATTTTCTTTGCAGGAACATGATGATCCTATGGCTTACATCCACTTCACTGCTGAGGGGGAAGTAACTTTCAAATCCATCTTGTTTGTTCCTAATTCTGCTCCACGTGGCCTGTTTGATGAATATGGATCCAAAAAAAGTGATTTCATAAAGGTAAATTAAACAAGTGTTTCTTGATTCTGGTCTAAAAATAAACAAAACTTTCATAATAATCTGATTACTGTTTCTCTAAAATTCAGCTGTATGTTCGAAGAGTGTTCATCACAGATGACTTCCATGACATGATGCCCAAATACCTCAACTTTGTTAAGGGTGTCGTAAGTATCGCATATTCGTTGTATTTGACCTCAGTCTTCAAATATTCTTGGATATATTTTACAAGTATTTTCTTAAATTAGGTGGATTCTGATGATCTTCCTCTGAATGTATCTCGTGAAACACTGCAGCAGCATAAGTTGTTAAAGGTAAGCTAATTAGATAATAAACTTCCTTCTGTGAGTAGGGGGGGACTGATTCGGAATAAAAATACGTAACAGGACCAATATTTGGTAGGTAAATAGCTTGCTTAAAGTAGGAATGCCAAGTCAAAAGTACAGAAAACCCCAACTCTGCTGTTCTTAGAGGTGAGCAGAGGTAGTCTTAAGTCAAGGGGAATTAAGTATCCGCTCAGCAAGGGCAAATTGAAGGTTCTTCTATAAACTGAAAACATCCAGTCCTGTGGGATGAGTGGGATTATTGTGGCAACGGCTAAGAGAACAAAGGTGGTAGTTGGTACCTGAGGTTATCAAAAGCTTACTGTTAAGATGAGCTATTAATACTTTGTATTACTTTTTTTTTTTTTTTTTAGGTGATAAGAAACAACATGGTTGGTAA